TTTTTTTTTTTTTTTTTTTTTTTTTTCTCTTTCAACTGAGTTAAGAATGTAACTTGGCCGCCGTAAACAGTTTTTATGGTGACATTTCGAGCGTGAGCCCTTCGTTGGAGGGAAAGTTCTGTTTTGTTTTATTCTTGGCTTGATTCTTTTTTGTTTGTTTTTTTTTCTACCCCAGCTAAGTATTATTTACAAATCCCCTCATTATCAAGGACATTCTTAAAAACTTTCAATTAATAAAATTTTCGCGACCCTTTTGTTATTCTCGGATGGGGAGGTCATAATCGAAAACATGTGTTCCAAGGTTACTAGAGATCGACAACGCTGATTCTATTAAGAAAATCCACTTAAATTCTTAATTGTTAGAACCGGATGTTTTTGTCTAGTTTATCCAAAGAAACAATAGGGGACTAAACCACTCAGGAAGGCAACGCAGAGGAAGATGTCGATTAAAAAAATGAATTTATATTTTTAGTATGAATTTCGCGAATGGCCGATTTTTTTATTGTCTCTCATGCCGCTACACCTCAACTTAATTATAATGTGTGAAGGTAGGGTTGAGTTCCAAATGAAGACTTAACTAATTTGCCTTCGGGGTTTCCGCTCTTAAACCGCGCAAATTTGTAATTTCACGTTGTTTTTTTTGCAGAGGACGGCTAAGAAATGTACAAAGTTTAGAAACGCACGTGCTGAGCTATTGTTATGATGTTGCAAGACAATCTGTGAACTTCTAATGATTCGTCGATTGATCAGTCCTGAAAATTTTTAATTTGTCACGGTACCATGCTGCATGGTCATTGTCATCAGCTTTCAACGATAAAAGCCAACAACAACGACTGCAGAAGAAATTCCTCGTTGCGTCCTGGTGCGAGGTCTTTAAGCTAGTATAAGTGCTGAAATTAATTTTAGAAACAGTAAACTTTTGAAATCTTCAAATTTCTGTTGGCCTTTGTACCTCCTGTTATCACGGGATAATCGTTCATTTCTGGCCGAAGAGATGGTGTGATATTTTGCTTGTCAGTCAGTGATCAAAAAAAAAATTCCGGCTCATTGACATCAGAGAAAAACGCCTTCTTGCAAGGAATCTAAACCTCCTTTGCGTCACATATCGTGGCAAAATTCATATACTAGTCCAAAGAATAACAGAAAAAAAAAACATCTGCATGTTTTGAAAAATGTTGTAAAATTAAGTATCAAAAGGGTTGTTCACTTGACCAATTTGTCAAGAAAAGATACTAAGTTTCATTGAGGAGAGACTAAATACCACAAATTGTCTCATTTATTGTAATATTTTTTTTTGTCGGTGCAAGGCCCTTGTGAGTCAAACAGTCGGTCTCCATAAAATAAAGTGATCACTTTACTATGCTGTTGTGAGCCAGTCAAACTGACCTAAATGGGCCATAACACAACATTACAGTTCGCTATTGGGTACAGAGCTAAGATGAATCGACAAGTCGATGTCTCCGCATCAGTTGTTTTCTTCAAAAGTGATTTGATTTCGATCTGCGAGAATAAAATTAGCTGCCTTTCAAGCCCCACAAGGTCTTTTCTCACGGTATACAATGGTAGCGTTTTCAAACCCTAAATTACGATGCTTTCCTCTATAATTCAGTTTGTCTACGTTCAGTGGGCTTCTCGTGTTATCAATTGCACGCCTCTGTCTTCTAGAGGTTTAGGATTTTACATCGACAGTCAACAGTGTAATTAGAAGACTCAGGCATTTTCAAACCCTTTCAAAAACCTTCAGATGCCATATAGACCACAAAAGTGTAGGTGTTGATCAACAGAACAGGAAGGAAACTTTGCTTAACAGTCTGGAGCATAAAGCTTGGGAAACTAACGCCATACTCATCTGCTGTAGTGGGAATAAAGAATGGAACGAGCAGTAAATTGCACACGGCACAGCCCTCAAAGGTTCTACACCAGACCCAGAAAAAGCTCCTCGTAATGTCCTCGAGGAGAATTGCTCTAGAAAACCAGCACACAAGGGGCATAGCAAGTTCGTGGGCAACACAAATAGGTTTACAATACGAAACATTCGTATGGACAATTGAACTGTTTAAATCAAACTGTCCTTCCAAAGAGATGGATAATTCGCAAAATGAGACTAGGTTTGATCACTTTTTAAACTTGACTAAATACGTGTTGTACCAACGTGATATAAGCTCATGGTGAGAGCACGTGATTTTAAAAAACAGCTGGATATCTTGTGGAAAACGAGTCGATATTGCTTCGAATCACTATGACTCACTATACCTGAGCCGCTTATCAAATGATCTCTATAGAACACGAATTGATGGTGATTTAACCTACTACCAATTCTTTGTTGCTGCGATAATCGATGCATTCAAAATGCAAAAATGCCAGCAGCAACATAAATCAGTTTGGCTGTCTTTCCTCTTTGCTTTGAATTTTGTTGAGGTAGTTCTTTTGCGATAGTTGTTTTATATCTCTCTTTACCTCTCTTAAGATTATTCATAGTGTATGCATGATCGCTCTAGCAAACCGTTCTGCACAACTGAATGCATTGGATCAATTTGGAAACACTTGGAAAATGATCAAATTCTTGCTCAGCACTTACGAATGCTATATCCTATGGCATTCCTTCGGTTTGGTGGGTGAGTTCCATATTTCAATAAATTGTTCCAAAGTGCTCAAACTGTTTGAAATTGTAGGAATGTACAAACCAATTGCACATCGTTTCCTTTATATATATAAAAGGGAACTTATAAAGTGACCAAATACTAAGATTTGATATTCCATAATTAATATATTGTTACTGAATCGATAACAATTTCACGAGTCATACACATATCGCAGAAAAGGAAATTTCGTCCGCAATTATGAACGCATAAACCTCGAACGCAGTAGTAGAAATAACATGTATGATATCTCAGTAACTAACAGAAAAGGACCAGGCGATCTAAAGTTAGCATCAATTAATTATTTATTCAGACATCATTAATCAACCAGTAGAAAGCTGTCTAAGTCTTTCTCATTGAATTGCATATACTTTCTCATTATAACAAAAGGCTTTTGAAACGCAATAACGAATGCGACCTCCTTGTCAGTGCCTGTTGAAAAATATATTTAAGTTATCCTACACCAGAATCTTGCATTTAGTTACTATTAATCCAGCAAAGAAGAGGTTTTAAACATTTTTCGACGAGCGTGGGGGAAGGAAATCCGATTCCCCAATGAGGAATTGAACTTCAGCTTTAGGATTGGTATTTACAAGGGTATTAAGAGTAATTGCTTTCTAATTCGTCGAAAAAAGATTCTAAGCTGAACTGAGGAGAGACAAAATGCCTTAAAATGTCCCAAATGCACGTATTTATCGGTGTTATGTATAGGTTAAATCCTCATAAGTCAAATAGTTAAACTCTAAAAGAAACAATAGCGATTTTTCTTTGCTACTGTGGGCCATTGAGAACGCAAAGAGAACACAAAACCACTTGAAAGTTCGCTATAAGGTACTAAGCTCACAAAAACATGACGAGAACTCGATGTATCCTCATCAGTTGTGTTTTAACGAAGGCAACTTAATTTCGATCGCCGAGGAACATATCAGTTCCATGTCAAGTCACACACGGTTTTCCCTCATGTTATATAATAGTGGAGTTTTCAAGCCCAAAATAGGATGCTTTACTTTTAAATCACGTTTTCCCACGTTGAACTGAATAAAGGGGATAAGTCTCTGAAGAAACTGTGGTGTTGTGTTTCGTTTTATCAAATGAGTTTATAATGTGAATTGGCCACGATAAAGAGTCCAGACAGCTGACGTTTCGAGCGTTTGCCCTTCGTCAGAGCGAATGATGACGTTCAGTGGGCATGCTATCAAAAATAAGGCTGTGCTGTGTGGTGTAGTGCTTAGGGTTAGAATTTTCGTCATCTTAATAACTGTTAAAACAGTTACAAGAAAAACAAAAGAACTCGGGCATTTTACAGCACTTACTAAAGCCTTCAGGAGGAATGTGAAATAAAAAAAGAACTTTTGAAGTCTAGACAGCTTAAAGCAAAGGAAGCTAACTCCAAACTAATTTGTTAGTAAAAACATGGAGCGGTACGCGTTGTGAATTGCAAAGGGAAAATTCTTCTCATGACCTAACCAGGCCCGCAAAAATTTCCTTGTACTGTTCTCAAAGGGACGTGCGTCACAAACACAGCACACGAGGAGCACA